TTCTTGATCGAGGACACCAGCGTTGTCCAAAGACAATTTCCATGGTCACGTGGCCAGCATGGCTAGACGCTAAAGGCACACGGAACGCTGTTAACTTCCCACTGGAATGGTACCTATTCATCTACTCACACTAGCTTTCAAACTGCTAGGTGCACAGGGCGAGGAAGAGGTTGCACATCGGGTCTCGAACCCGGGCCATTGGCTTTCCAGCTGACAAGCTCACCATCTATAACCACTAAGCCATCTTGCCCCTCTCTATAACTATACAACCATACTATAACTCCCATAAACTCAACAGGCGCAGCCTTCATTAATTCATCTTGCCACTCAAAAGCCCCTTACTCCTCTAGGCCATCCTACTTGGTGCATCCCCTTATTTATGTTGTCTTTTCTCTTCCAACAGGCAATGTCTTTGGCTTATTTCAGGCTAGACTAAATTATTCAGATCTTGATTCTCTGCAGGATTTCTTACCAGCTATTGACATTGGATATGAATTCACTTTCTCTTTCTAAAGCTTAGCATTCCTAGATCAAAAGACAATTCAATGTTTTGTAAAAACACACACATACACACGCCAAAAAAACCCCAATCAACCCAGGAGCCGAATGCTCGTGCCTTATGTAATTCCATCTCCACATTACTAATATCCTGTATCTGAAGCCACTTCAGTTCAAAACATTTACATAGTTCTTCCTAAATCTTACTCATTGCTAATATCTTAATAAGAGGCGGTGCCTTTTCCCGCTAAAGCTGAGTCAGTATTACAGGGAAGAGGTTTTTCCCCCCCTCAGTATGAACCTAGTGTCTTCGCTGATTTCTGGACAATATTCCACAAAGCCACTAATGTTTATTCTTAGATCTCAACCGCTATCACTTTCAAACAACTGCATTCACTTTTCGTAAACTCTGAATTAGGAGGTATTTTCCAGACCAGAATCTGAGTGCGTTCCAAAAAGCTAACAAGTAAGTATTTGTAAAACAACCAGTAAGAGACGTTAATTTAAGGCAAATGTGATCGAAGGATGGAGTTAGAAAATTTGAGGGGATAAGACTTGGAAATCTGTTCTCGTATGAACCTTTAGCATGCATTTCTGCTTAAGCCTCTAAAAGATTCCAGCTATTTTTGTAAATAAAAGTATTTGCCACTACTCGCTGAACAGTCTACTGATGTAAAAAAAAAAAGAAAGAACTTTTAAAAGAATTTATTAAGTTATTTCCTCAGATTTTATTGCAGTTGAAGAATAAACTAGCTCAATGAAAAGTACTATATCTGGTCATACATAACAGAAGTTCAGCACAGGAGGAGTGCTGATATTAACAGTATTATTTCAGAATAGTATTTTTTTTAAAACGATTTATGATTTGTAGGTCTCCTTTTAATCAGGGAGGCAGTTATGTCAAATCAATAAACGGATCAATGGTTTACTTCGGAGTCTTTGTCATTATTCCGATCAACTTAACTACTGCATTTCAATTGCTGCTTGGTCTTCTTGGATTTAAATACCGGCAGTCCTTGATTCATGGCCCCAGTTGAGTCCAAGCGAGAAAGTTGTGAAGTGAGTTTTGCCCCCATTTTGCGACCTGTCTTGCCACCGTTGTTAAGTGAGTCACTGCAGCTATTAAGTTGGTAACACGGTCGTTAAGTGAACCGGGCTTCCCCATTGACTAGGCTTGTCAAAAGGTCGCAAAAGGGGACCCCGGGACACTGCAACTGTCATAAATAGGAGTCAATTGCCAAAGGTCTGGATTTTGATCCCATGACCGCAGGGGTGCTTGCGATGGTCATAAGAGTGAAGAACGGTCGTAAGTCGCTTTTCCCCCACACTGTTGTAACTTTGAACGGTCACTAAACGAACTGTTGTAAATCCAGGACCACCTATCCTGATCAGAGGCAGGGTTTGGGTGTCCTCATGAGGCGGCAGCTTGGGTTGCAAGAAAGATTGACCCAAAGGTCCTTTTTCAAGAGGTGATGGGATTTTCTCGGTTTTTTTTTTCCTTGAAGAGGTTTCGCTTCTCATCCAAGAAGCTTCTTCCGTTCAGAAACGGTGAGGAATTCAGGATTCTTCCACTAGAATGGAAGAAGCTTCTTGGATGAGAAGCGAAATCCCTTCAAAGGAAAAAAAAAACCAAGAAAATCCAGTTGCCTTTTGGGGAGGGAAAAAACCCCACCTTTGGGACAACCCTGACTTGAATGATTGGGATTCTCCATAGACCAGACCCGATGACTGGAAGGGAATTCTCCCCATCACGCAGATGGCAGAAGCACACGGGCACCTTGCCAACTAGGTGTCGCCCAGGTGCGCTTGTGTCAGACAGCCGGACCTCCTCCCAGGAGGTTTTGCTACATTCCTCTCTAGCAGAACAAAAACCCAGGGCAGGGCCAGATCTAATGGCAGTCTGCTCCTGGCATGGGAGGGAGTGGGGGGGGTAAAGGTGACGATAATGATGGTATATTAAACACTCAAAGGAGTTCGAAAAGGAATTGCAGCCGGGATAAGCAACGTAGCCTAGGATTCATTTGTCCATACAACTGTCAGTCACGGAAGACCATGTTACTTGGATCCTGATAGATGCCAGCAACCTCTGGGCTTCCGGCTGGAAATGGGGTCTCTGTATTGCAAGATTTGCACGTGGAATAGCATTCATGGAGCATAAACATCCTGAGTCCCAGACTGAAAAAAAAAAAATATTCCCTGTTATGCATTCAATTCCTGGAAGAGCACCTGCAAAAGCGCATATATTCTCTCTCTCTCTCTCTCTCTCTCTCACACACACACACACACACACGGAGGGAGGGAGCGCAATAGCATCCTGTCAGAATTCAATTTCTGGGAAGCTTTCCCTTGAGTCACTTCGCGTCACGAGCCAAAACATCAAGCCAAGGTTGATATCTGGGTCGTTTTTAATCAACTGGAGCCTGACGAAACCACAATTCCCGATTCTACCTAGGTGTGCAATCAGACAAACCGTATTTATTTATTTTAAAAACATTTTTTTAAAAAAAATCCTTCTATTTGGCTCCCAAAGGAGAAAAAAAAAGAAGAGACCCGGAGGCTCATGGTAGCTTGATCACCATAATCCAAAACGACGTTAGCTGGGGATGATGGGATCTGTCATTCAGAACTCCGGGGCACTCGGTAGAAGATTTTGCCCTCTGGCTGAGTCAGCTAGGAAACTCGTGCAGGGAGAACTAAGTTGCAAACCGTATTTATTACGGCCTTTCCAGGAAAACTGACTTTTTTTCTTTCTTTCAATTTTTGACAAACCTTTTCAGAGTTCGGGCTTTAGTTCGTTCTCCCACAGCGCCCCCTTGTGGTTAACGGGAGAACGCCACGCCAGGCCACTCCGCTGCCTCTATTCTACCATTATCCCCAAAGTTAACCGGCATTTGCTGAGCTGGCTAGCTTAGCTCAGGGTGGCTCAGACAAGCAGAAAAGCTCATTTGCTGAGCAGGGCACTTTTTATGGGAGAGAGCACAGAGGAGGGAAAGCAGGGCATATGGGAGACTTTTTACTAAAGAAAAAGGCTTCACGGGTAAACCCGAAGAAGTTACAAGCCCTCTTAAGGTTGCACCGAGATCCGAAGTCGTGCACCACACCGAGGCATAGGCAGATTTTAGCCAATTTCCCTTGCGGGTCCGTGCAAACTAGTTCTACCCTCCATGTGGAAAAAGAGGAAATCAGAGACAGGGAATAGAGAATTGCAAAAAAAAAAAAAAAGGGTCCATAAACCACTTTTCTTTCTTTCTTGAGGGACGTGGTGGCTAAGACGCTGAGCTTGTCGATCAGAAAGGTCGGCAGTTCAGTGGTTCGAGTCCCTAGCACCACATAACTGAGTGAGCTCCCGTTACTTGTCCCAGCTTCTGCCAACCTAACAGTTCGAAAGCATGTTAAAAAAAAAAAAATGCAAGTCGAAAAATAGGGACCACATCGGTAGGAAGATAACGGCGTCCCTCCATGCGCCTTCGGCGTTTAGTCATGCCGGCCACATGACCACAGAGACGTCTTCAGACAGCACTGGCTCTTCGGCTTGGTAACGGAGACGAGCCCCGGCAACCCCCAGAGCCGGAAACGACTAGCAGGTATGTGCAAGGGGAACCTTTTGCCTTTACCTTTTTTGAATGCCCTCAGGAGTCTCCGAAGCAGGAGAAGATGATCGGGGTTTGTTAGACAAGCACCCAAGAGGTCAAAGGCAGTGGCGTTGCCAGAGCTTAGATCGTAGGCTAGGCAACTATGATAGAACATAGTTTATTAGGGTTGGAAGGGACCTTGGAGGTCTTCTAGTCCAACTCTCAGGTCAAACGGGAGATCCTATTATACCATTCCAGACAAATAGCTGCCCAGTCTTTCCTTAAAAACCTCCAGTGTTGGGACATTCACAGATTCTGGAGGGAAGTTATTCCACGGATTAATTGTTCTTTCGGGAAATTCCTCCTTAGTTCTAGGTTGCTTCTCTCCTTGATAATGCTCCATCCCTTAGTTCTTGTCCTGCCTTCAGGGGCTTTGGAGAGTAAGTTGTCCCCCTCTTCTCTGTGACAGCCCCTCAAATGTTGGAAGAGTTTCATCGGAAAGTGGCAAGAGAGAGAGAGACAGGATTTAGAAAAGGATAGCAAGCGACAATGATATTGGAAAACTTGAAAAGTAAGGTCCACGTGATGAGGAAGGGGCTTCTTTTAATCAAAGCTCGGTCCTCCATACCCCTTGGCCAACCAAAGACAAGGAATTTCATCCCTTCTTTAGTTAGCTCTTCAGTGCAAGCCACGGCTGCATGTTCAAGGGCTAAAAGTCTGTTCCTGGAAAATGGAATTTCAAACATGGGAAAGTAGAGAACATACAGTACATAAAGGGTTTTTTGTCCTACACAGAAGCCACTGGATGGCCTCAGACGCCCATAAATATATAGCTAAACACTACTTTTTCTGTTTTGGAGCACCAAAATATCCCTCGGCTTAAGTCAACTTTAAGGTCACGTGGTCGAACTCTTTTCGCCAGCTATGGAAGCAACGTGTATGGTTTGAATTATGTGAAGCCAGCTCCTGTTTCTTAAAGAACTGTAGGTTTTCTGTAAGTCTTATAGCTGGGTAATTGGAAACGTCACCAGCTACAGGAAGTGGCCCAGTGGAAATTATTTGCCGTTCGAACAGCCATTATCTTTCAATCTCACCAGAAAGGAAGTGTCAGCCTCTCGCATCTTCCGAGCTTTTTCCTTCGTGGGTAAGTTATTGACTTTGTTTCAGATCAAATCAAATCAAATCTTAATTACGGTCCTGTATTTATCCATTTGTCATAAAAGCCCCAAAGTATTGTGCAAGAAAATCTCTTGATATCTAGATCCTTTCCTTTTGCAGTATGTTCAAAACAGATATATATATATGTAAAATATAAAGTGGTAAATTGTGAACAAGGAAAAAGGTCTCTTTCCTCTATGTCTGTTAGAATAATTTTGCGAAGCTTAAAGAAAGTTAGGTAGTTCCTGAGGGGTGAAGAAGCCACAGAGAAAGACAAATAAAACTTTTTATTAAAGGGAAATGTTGATGTTTGGGGCACAAAGCAGGAATCACACCCAGCCCAGGGTCTCAAATGCAGCATTGTTGACATTCTTTTGTCATCCGTTTCTAAATTAGTTTCTGTAAAAATAACCTTTCCTAAATTAAATTATTAGTGTAATAATTTCTGGGAGGGTTTTTTCTTTTTTGCCTCTGTGATTCCTGGCCCTAAATTCCCCTAGGAAAGATCAATCCAGGATCTACTACAGGGGTGTCCAAACTGTGGACTTCAACTCCCAGAATTCCCCAACCAGCATGGGAAATTCTGGGAATGGAAATCCACAAGTCTTAAAAAGAAAAGAAAAATAGCTTCGGTTTTCTCAAATGATTGTCCCGAAGGCAAGTCATGTGATTAGCAAGTCATCCGTTCTAAAACTAGGTCTTCTGATCTCAGCACTGGGATAAACACCAATAAATCATTTCAGCCTTTTGGAGAGATTTGCAAGGCAGTATTTGGCGTCACAGAGAACCGTCTGGCTAACGGAAAAACAGAATAAGAGTGTTGAAAGGGGCCTTGGAGGTCTCCTAGTCCATCCCCCTTGCTTTCAGACCAATGGCTGTCCAATCTCTTCTTAGAAACCTTCCAGTGTTGGAGCATTTACAACTTCTGGAGGGAAGCTGTTTTACTGGTTAATTGTTCTCCCTGTCAGGAAATTCCTCCTTAGTTCTAAGTTGCTTCTCTCCTTGATGAGTTTCCATCTGTTGCTTCTTGTCCTGCCTTCTGGGCTTTGGAGAATAGCTTGGCTCCCTCTTCTTTGGGGCAGCCCCTGAGATACTGGAAGGCTGCTCTCCTGTCTCCCCTGGTCCTTCTCTTCCCTAGACTAGCCAGGCCCAGTTCCTGCAACCGTTCATCGTATGTTTGAGCCTCCAGTCCCCCCATCATCCTGGTTGCTCTTCTCTGCCCTCTTTCCAAAGTCTCAGCCTCTTTTTTATAACGGGGGGGTGACCAAAACCAGATGCAGTATTCTATCGACAGGAAGAAAATGACAGGAGACGGAAAAGGGCTCTTTCCAGGATGGAGAAGGAAGGAAAAAGAAGATGAGTTGCAAAAGAAAAAGATTAGGAAGACACCGAGAAAGGAAGCTTTTTTTAAAAATATATATATATATATATATATATACTTATTGTCTTAAAAAAAAAAAAGGAGAAAAACTTTTCAAGATTTGCAAGCGAACATTATAAGACCAGATCTGCCAAAACAGGATTAAAAGTTGTTTCTACTTAATTGCACCATGAAGCAGGAGGCCTTGGATGATGAATTACAAAACGCTTGTGTGCCTGTCATCTCCATTCTAATTTTCTTAGGATTTTATTTATGAAGTTTTTATTTATTAAATGTGTTCTCTACTAAGTGACTCCTGGCTGGCTGGACAATTGGGGAGTTGAAGTCCACAAGTCTTAAAAGTTGCCAAGGTTGGAAATCCCTGCCATAGGATGCATTCAAATTCATAATTCGCCCCTAATCAGTAATCCTCAATTAAGAAATCCTCCGCCCCGCCTGACATTCCTATCCTTTCATTAGCCTCCTGCACCCACAGCCTCTACTGAACTGCCTCCTTTTCCCAGCCAGGAGTCTGGTGATGCCTCAAGAAGGCACAGAGAACCACAGAGGAATGTAAGGCGCCCGAGGGAGGGGCGGGGGGAGAAGTGGAAAATTTTCTCCAGCCTTATACTTTTCTTTTGCAGCCAGTATTTCCAAGCGAAAAACTTAAAAATAAATAAAAATGCATGGCTTCCAGAGTGAGTATGAAATCCCGAATTCTAAGGTAGTGAATCCATCAAAAGTGAACAGTTTCTCACTTTGAGAATAATTGGATTTCCACTATGAATTATTTTAAAAGTAACTCGTTCGGATTAGAAGGGCTCCAAGTTCCCACCCAGCTCCGTTATTCTGTATTCTAAGTCTACGTAGGGAAGCAAATATTTATGTTAGGGTAGCCAAGATGCTTCTTTGGGCTAATAACATTCTGTAGGTCCTCCATTTGCAGCACCGACGATGCCAGTGGGGCTGCTATTCTGGGCTCATTCAACAAGAATGAATTTCTAGAAATCCGAGAAAAACTGAGACGTTTAACCCAAAAGTGCTTTTTCAAGAGGCAACTGGACTTTCTTGCTTTTGCTTTGAAGAAGTTTCGCTTCTCCCCCAAGAAGCTTCTTCAGGGAAAACCAACAAGCCCAGCTGCCTCTTGGAAAAGCACCTTTGGGAAAACCATGACCTGGATGGCTGGGAATCTCCACAGACGTTAGATAAGGTGGATTCAGACTTACGACCCCACGATCGGCTTAATGACTTTGGTGGCTCGTTTAGCAACTGTCCTAAAAACGGTTGTAAAATGGAGTCAGTTCCTTTGGGGACACTCTTGCAATGACTTACCACCAAAATTCTGGGCTCGACTGCAGTCATAAGATGAGGATTGGCTGCGATGCATGACACGGAACAAACTTCAAAAGAATTTTTTTTACTACCGGTTCCTGCTTGAGATTTGGAGACAGGTGCAAAAGCTGCTTTTAATGCATCAGGCCAAAATCAAAAGTGAAAAGCAGAGAAAAACCAGCCTGTTCCTCAAAGAACAGAGGTTCTCCTTTGAGGTTTCTAATTTAATGTTGCAATTGTCTTGGGTTGGGGTTTTGGGGAAGATGCTGGGAGCCTTATCAGATGAACCAGCTGTGTGCAGCAGCAGCCAAAAAAGCCAACATAATCCTATTCTGCATTTAACAGAGGGATACAATCAAGATCAAGGGACGCACTAATACCACCCTGTAAAGCCTTAGGAAGGCCACACCTAGAGTACTGCATCCAGTTTTGGTCATCACACTATAAAAAAGATGTTGAGACTCTAGAAAAAGTGCAGAGAAGAGCAACCAGGATGATTAGGGGACTGAAGGCTAAAATACACGAAGAACGAAGAACGGTTACAGGAACTGGGCCTGGCTAGTTAGTCTAGGGAAGAGAAGGACCAGGGGGAGACATGATAGCATCTTCCAATACTTGAGGGGCTGTCCCAGAGAGAGGAGGGGGTCATCTCTAAGGCCAGACAAGGAATAACGGATAGAAACTGAGCAAGGAGAGATTCAACCTGGAACACCAACGGAACAGAAGTTGCCTTTGGAAGTTGTGGGAGCTTCATCCCTGGGAGCTTTCAAGAAGAGACCGGACAGCCATCTGTCAGAAATGGTGTAGGGCTTCCTGCTTGGGCAGGGGGTTGGGCTAGATGACCTGCAAGGTCCCTTCCAACTCTGCTAATCTGTATCAGATAGAACAGCCTGTGTATTGCAGCACGCCAACAGCGGACGTGACCTCTCCGTGGGCAGATTTTCAAAATAGGTTTTTTTTTAAAAAAAATAATGCTGGCAGGAAGCTTCAGCAGTCAGAACTGACGAGTAAAATATGTTCTTGAGTACTCAGGAAAGCGCCACATGGCCCTCAATGCAAAATGCTCGTTCCTATCGCAGCGCAAGGCGTATTTGTCTAACAAACAAAAAAGGAAACAAACAAACCACAACTAACATTGCTAACCCATTTTTTTCTCATGAAGGAGAAGGATGGTCACCTTTTGCACAACAGAGACTTTGCCACTTTGAGGGGGGCTTATATAATGAGACATATTACATATATATATATATATATATATATATATATTTGCTGCAGGAGGAGAAAAAAAAATGTGATTCGATCCTTCCCATGTTTTTATTTGCTTAAAGGGAAATGCAATGCTTTTTCGGGGCAACGGAATCAGGAAGGGAGCATATGGTTGAGCCATTATACTTTATTTTATTTATTTTTTGCCTAAAGAAACCCTTAATTTTAGGAATTTATAACTGCTATCGGCTTACATTCGCACATACACCTTAGCAACTAACAGCATTATCAGATAAAAGCTAAGTTACCTTAAAAAAGAAAAGTATTAATAGCTCTATGATGAGGCCTGGGTGGTATTTGAAAATTGTAAGGACCTCAAGGTGACGGTAAAATTCTCTTATTGTAAAATTGTATATTTCTTGGTTATTGTTCTGAAATGAGGTCAGGAGGGAAACTTACACAGATTTTCTATGGCCTGGAAGGATAATATATGTATTTAAAGTATCTGCACCAGTGGTGGGATTCGAATTTTGTTACTACTGGTTCTGTGGGCGTGGCTTGGTGGGCGTGGCAGGGGAAGGACCCTGCAAAATCCCCATTCTCTCCCCACCCCACTAACCTGCTTTCCAGCTCTGTTCTCCTGGCAGGGCAACCAAAGGAGACCCAGCCAATCAGCTGGGACTCTGGAGGCAGAGAACAGATGCAGGCGGGGCCAGTCACGACGCTGGCTGGGGAATTCTGGGAGTTGAAGTCCACCTGTCTTAAAGTTAACCAGGCGAAGAAATATTGGCATATATAGCCTATATATTTCTAAATAAACTTTCCCTTTCGGATCTGGGCGCTGAGCTCTCCTGCCTTCATCTGGGCTTCTTTGGAAAATATATGGGCATGTTTCACTTATCGGAGTGGAGAGCTTTGCGTGAAACATCCCCGGTTTATTGTGACTTAACCTCCTTTAAAGATCCTCTCCTTCTCTTCCCTCTCAGCTCCCGCGGAGGATCCCCTGAAAAATGCTCCCGCATAACATGACCTGGATGAAGTACCCGAGCCTGAGCAAAGATTCCTCCACCGACTTCGAACAGATTATATTTGCACAACAAGTCATCTCAAGGTTCATGCACGCCTACATCGGTTTCTTCGTGCCGCCGGGTTTGTTAGCCGGCATGGTTATCTTGGGCGTTTGCATCCAGAATTATCGAAGTCATGTCCTGGACAAATTAGACGTCTTGTTTTTCTCCCAGACGGTCAGCAACATCTTTGTCGTCCTCCTCTCGCTCACCCTTGCCGTGCGGCCGGCTTACCTCCGATTGTCTTACCTCGGGTGTGGATCGCTCTCGTTCTTCTTCAACCTGGGCTACTTCTCGTCTCAGTTCCTCCTCCTCTTAATCATCCTGAGCCTTTTCCTCAGCAGGCGCCCGGCCCAAAACGCTCTGATCAGCAAGGCGCACCAAAGCCCAGGCGTGTGTGTGGCTTTCATCCTGATGGGTAGCTTCTGCGCCGCCTTGATGCTGAGCGCGCTGCTGGGCATCGAGCATTACCAGGAAGAAACGGACTGCCAGCTGGACCCTTTGTTTGCCTGGCCTGAATACGAGATCGTTAAATTTGCCTTGGGGTTCGGCGCTCCGACGTTGGCCGAGCTCCTCCTCTCTATTCTAGCATTTGTGAAAAAGACGCCGGTGGGTCGATACGCCTCCGGGAAAAACAGCCAGCCACTTTGGGCTGTTTCAGCCATGGCGGCAAGCATGCTGTCATGCCGTCTGTTTTACAACGTCCTGATCCTGTCCAGGGCCACCTTGAAGATCAAGGGAGAGGCGGGGACTGTTCAGAATGAGCTGATCATGAATATCGCGGAGGTGGTTTTGTTCTGCGACAGCTGCACAAGTTTGGTGCTTCTCCTCTTCCTGCACCCCTCCTACAGGACGGCCCTGTTGAATGCACTTAAACATCTCACAAGGGGTTGTGGGAGGGGGAGACGGGGCGCCAACAGGGCCGGTGGAATTCAAGGCAATGAAACTGGGCTTTCCGAAATGCGCTGACAAAGATGGTCATGACATCAAAAGCCGGCCACTTGGCAACTGGTTCATGTTTGTGACAGCTGCCATATCTTGGGGTCAAAGGATCCCCCTTTGCAACCTTGGGGCCAGCAAAGTCCCTGGGGGAAGCCAGATTCACTTAACAACCGTGTTACTAGCTTAATGACAAGTTTGCTTAACGACTGTGACAAGAAAAGATGGTAAAACGGGACAAAGCTCTCTTTAACAAACGTCTCTCACTCATCCACATGAATCCTGGGCTCGACAGCCATCGTAAGTCGAGGACTGCCTGGAAATACGTCCAAGCCAGCCTATGAAAGCATCCAGCTTTTGAGATCCGAACCGGCAGAAAATCTGGCGACCTTCCGAAAGGTTTTGCAGCTTTGATGAGCTTAGGAGTAAAGAGCAATCGGGAAAGAAAGAGCTAAAACTTAACCACACATCACAAAAGGATGCCAGCGATGGCCGGCACGAGACAGGGAGCTTGACAACCAGAAAATGTGGATTGCGCTGTCAACGGCAAAGGAAGAATCTTGTTTGCAAAGCGACAAGGGGAAGGAAACAGGTTGGCTTAGCAAAGAAATAGCAGGGCTCGGGCTTGGAAATTCCCTTCTCGGGGATGAGAAGAGGCTTAGGGGGGATTTGCTAATTTCTGGCCAAAGTAAGGCCACACCTAGAGTACTGTATCCAGTTTTGGTCACCACACCTACAAGGTCTCTTCCAACCCTGATTATCTGTTAAGGCTCGACAGATGGGATGAGGATGATGGCCGTGCTAAAATGAGCTACCGAAAAAGGATGAGGGGCGGCGAAAGAGCCTGAGACCTCTTGATGGCGCTTCGGATCTTTTAAAAAATGGATGGGAAACAGAGATGACACCAGGATTTATGGCTAGCAAAACCCAAAGAGGATAAGGGCAATAAAGTTCTTGCATTGACTAAAGAAGGAGGGCTTCCAAACTGGACAACAACCTTAAAAACTTGTGGACCCAGATGGTTGGAAGCAACATGCTGACTCTGTAAACTGCTTAGAGAGGGTTGTGAAGCGGTATATAAATCTAAGTGCTATTGCTAATTGTGGATTGCAACTCCCAAAATTTCCCAGCCAGCATATATGCAGCTCACAATTTAGCCACAGAATAAAGGGATCAAAACAATTCTTTATTATTATTATTGCAAATAATGCCTGTCTTCTCTGTTTTTTTTCTCTCTTGCTTCACTACGTACCCTTAAAAAACAGACCAGTAAATATTACAGAACTGGTTGCCACAGCCTTAGTGTTGATCTGTGTCCTACTAGAAAACACACACACACACACACATATATGCATAAGCTGTTCTCTCCCCCCCACCCCCATGAAAACATAAAATAACATTTGAATTTTTGCTGCAAAAAAGAGAGGAAGAAAGTTAGAATTCCTAGCCTGATTGATGTTGGCTTTTCCACCAATTTTTTCCGCAGCCCCATCAAACAGTGTGGTCCGAATAAATGAAAAAAGCTGCCCGATCTCACACCTGGGACAATTTTCAGGTCTGTGATGTAATAAGTGTGCAGGCCAGGAGGGGGCCTGGAATGGTAAAAGCCCATCAGAAAAATATGATCTGTTCAATTAGCAAAATCGGTTATTCAGGCAACGAACAAGGGCACATAGGATGAAGATATGTTAGGGAGGTTGGTGTTCCCTGGTTAGAATTTCTGAGGTAAAACAAAGATTAAAAAAAAAAAAATTAACGTGGCAGGAATCGATACCTTTGGCTACCCTGAGATCCCATTTAGAATTAAGCGTCTGCCTCACTTCTGCTTTGCTCTTCATTGCACAACAGATTGCAAACAATGGGCTTCTGTGCATGCCAATACGACATGATTTTTCAGCGGTCACACACATACACACACACACACACCAAATCATTTTTCTAGCAAGCACAAACAGGATGTTAGAAACTTCTTGGTGTCTGATATTTGTTCCCTAGGAGGAGAGGCGGGAGGAAGGAGGAGGAAGAAGGAGAAAGAGGGAGAAAGAGAAAGAGAGGAGGAAGGAGGAGAAAGAGAAGGAAGAAGAAGGAAAAAGAGGAGGAGGGAGGGGAGGGGAAGGAGAGGAGGAGGAAAAGGAGAAGAAGGAGGAAGAGAAGAAAAAACAACTATTCAAACCCACAGCCTATTTTTCCTCCCGGGGCAATTAAGAAAATACAATTATACAAACCCATAAACCAAATGGGGGGAAAAAAATATCCTATAGCAAAAGTGAGTGAGAATTACTAGATTAAGTACAGCGATAGCACCGTGAACTCACATTATCCCTTCATCTGGAGCCGCTGCCCTTTCAATATCCCATTTTTCCTGCAAACGTCTGGACCGTAAATATCTGGGCAGCCAGGGCTTAAATTTCAATGGGCCTGGAGATCAGCAAAGCAAGCAGACTATGTCCTGTTCTGTGCCCATCACTCTTGCCAATTAGATGTCACTTTATATTGTAAAGCCACATCAAATAGACACAGATATTTCTTTTTTTTTTAAAGAGGCATGGAGAAAACTTTACTTTCTAGCCCAGAATGATGTAGGCCTTTAATATGCGTTAATTTTGTCTTCTTAAAGGATTTTATTAAAAAGTAAAATATATTATGACCACAGCTGAGCCCAAAATTTCCATGGCTAAATGAGATGGTTAAGTGAGTTCTGCCCCATTTTACAACCTGTTTTGCCACAGTAGTTAAGTGAATCACTGCAGCTGTTAAGTTAGCAACCTAGTTGTTAAGCGGACCTGGCTTTTCCGTTGTCAGGCGGTCACAAAAGGGGATCCCACCACCGTCATAAATATGAATCCATTGCCAAATGTCTGCATTTGGGTCACATGTCCCCAGGGATGCTGCAAACGGTCGTAAGTGTGGAACTGGTCACAAGTGACTTTTCTGAGCGCTGCTATAATCTTGGTCGCTAAACAAATGGCTGTAAGTCAAGGGCTACTATTAACTCTTAGGGGGAAAGTGGAATAGTTATCAACACGCATGAAAGAGGCAGGAAAATTGCATTTTTTAAAAAATATTCTCTAAAGCAGGGTCCTATTGTGGTTCGCTTGCAGCCGGTGCAGACGGCAGCGGAACCGGACCATGGAGAAGAATGGGGACCAGTCCAAAAGTCTGGAGAGGACTCAGATGAGGGTCCTGCATCCGATGCAGAGATGGGGCCAGGACCATCTGGGAGTGGGGTGCTGCCTCCGGAGCCTCTGGACTCTGGCAGCAGCGAGGCAGAGGAGCAAGGGGAGCCTGTTCCCAGTGCGCATATGCGCAGAGCTGCTAGAAGGTGAGAGCAGCTGAAGCAGAAGGGGTGACTCGGGAGTAAGGCTGGGAGTGGATTGGCCCTCCCCTAAGGGATAAAGGACAGGCAAAGGTAGATAAACCTTTGCAGGAAGCAAAGTCGTTCACTCTGTTTGGATTAAACCTGGAAGCTCTGTGTGGACTTTGTACTTCAGTTAGTTGTTTTTTTTTCCAGTTAATTTGGCACTTTAATTATTGGCAGCCGTTCAAAGGAGAGAAAGGTCAGGGGTGGGATTCTACCGGTTCTGTCCACTTCTGTAGAACCAGTTGCTCTGAAGAGCAGCAAACAGAGAGCATACATAGAACTGGTTCTATGTTTGCTGCTGTTTTGCCCCACCCACCTGCCCGGGCTCTTACCTGACTTTTATTTCCTGCGTTTTCAAACTGCAGCTGCTTTGCGCGACACAGCTGTGGTTGGAAAAGCAGGAAAAAAGGGCTTTGCCAACCACTGCGCACTTGCACGCAGCGCTGCTCAGCTGTCCAGACAACTCAGCAGGTCATAAATTGCACTTGCGCGCGACGCAGAGCAACAGAACTGGTAGTTATACCGGTCGGATCCCATCCCTGAGAAAGGTGGGTGCTTATCTCAGGAGTCAATACGGGCTGGGAATGCACGTAATTCCCAGCGCTGAAATAAAACAAGAGTTGTTGTTAAGCGTGTGCTTAATTACGGTCTCGGGAAGCCTTGGTCAGAACAACCGTTTCAGACAAACGGTTGCCCAAGCTCTTCTTAAAAACTCCACTTGGACAGCTCTGCTGGCTGAGGAATTCTGGGAGTTGAAGTCCACAAGTCTTAAAAGTTGCCACATTTGGAGACCCCTGCCCTAAAGAATGGTTCCTGAAGATCTTCAGAAGCTTCGCAAGAACCTCAAGGAGAGCAAAAAATTTAACAGTACGAACTGTACCGAAAGCCAGGTCCTTTCCATGACTAATTTTTCTTCCGCAGCGTGCCGCAAGCCAAGATATTTTGGATGGGGCCACCGTTCAGCTAGAAGTTAAGATCCAACCTGCCAAGACGGGGGCCTTACAGCATCCAATCAGAATGTGATGAAAAAGTATTTCGTGGCTGGCCGGAGAAAGGATTTCCAAAAAGGCAAAGATCTCCACACCAGAGAAAGGAAGGCACTTAGCTTCCCTCCATCATGGATGCACAGAATGGAAAGTATACAAGGTTTTATTCAAAATAAACACTCGGGGGGCACCTTAAAAGACTAACAAACTTAGTGCTGTGTAAGCTTTCATCGTTCTTGGTCAACAAAAGCTGACGCAATGCTACATTTCTTGTATCTCTGGCTGCTTCTCTGAAATCTGCATTAACAAGCCAAGGTTGCCCTAATCTTGACCACTTTTAAGACCGGTGGACTACAACTCCCAGAATTCCCCAGGACAGCCACGGCTAGGGAATTCTGGGAGTTGTAGTCCAACAAACTTCAAGCACCCAAGGTACCCCTGACACCCCTGAGTTAAGGCTGTATAGCCAGAAGAGGAAAGTTTTAATTTTTAATTGAAACCTAAGGGGGGAAGGGGAGCGAGCTGGTTGCACAGACTTTGTGAAAGCTAAAATTAAATACACAGTTTGTGACATTGTTTAGACCAAGGGTTCTCAACCTTTCCTTCGCAACAGCCCCGCCCCCCTTAAATATCTTTTGTGGCCATGGACCGTGGCCATGGATTCCCAAGATGTAACTCAAGATTTAAATCATATTTTTTTCAAGCTTTCATGCTCCCCTGCCCCCAGGAGTTCATGGACCACAGGATAAGAACCGCTGTCTTAGACTCAAAAAACCCCCACAAAAAAACCCCACTTTTAAAACAGAGAAAAAGAGAAAGAACTTGGAAGGGTGTTGAGGCGTCCATTGGCACCCTCTCTCATCCTTCCAAACAGGGAGTTAGAATTTGGGGTGCTTCTCCCTTCTTTTTCCCTCCAAGTCTTCCATCTAAGTCTTCTTGTAAACTTTATAAATTTGGGGGATAAGGAATGCCAACGACAGCTTAAAGGGCGAGACCTACCCACTGGGATTGGGGCCTTTTTTCTTTTAGTATCGCTTCCTTCTTGTACCCCGAGTTGCTTTTATAAGTCCCTCCCATTTTAGAGGCAGTTTGCAAGAAAGGGTATACGGTACAGTTTAGTTAATGCAGGACCCCACAGCTACCAAAGACAGCTTGCAAAAAAAAAAAAAAAAGAGGAGGGGGGGAAATGGGGAATCTAGAAAACCAGACTAGAGCCTCTTTCTGGATAGCCCAGATTTGGTGGCCTCAATGGACCTCCAGAAGTGGCGCCATTCTAGATCCTCATCTAATATTCTACCTGTGCATGAATGTGGTCATAGAATATAGAGTCCTAGGGCTGGAAGGGACCCCACAGAGGTCTTTTAGTCTAACCTCTGCTCAAGGTACACCTTTATG